AGGTTTGTTACTAACTTCTAAAAAGGTTTGTCTTGGGTATATCCTATGTGATCACCTAGGTTCCTAAAAACTAAACTATTTACAACTAAAATTCCTTGTCTTCTTAGATATTGAGGTGATCTAAAGCCACGATAACTAAGAAACTTCTTAGGAACAAAATGTTTTCCCTAAGATTGGAAGGCTTGAAAAAGAGCATTAAACTCTTTGTTATACATGGTGTATTTGAGAGTGACACCAAAATGAGTTATTTTGAATAAAGTAATAGGGTTCCCGCCCTTTAATAAAACACCTCTCACACCTAATTCAATGCAAAATATTCTAGCTCAAAAGTTTTAGAAATTTCTGGAAGAGTTAGAACATATGCATTGAAGAGTTCATCTTGTGAGGATTGAAAAGCTTGCTTAAGTTTTTCATACCAAAAGAAAGGAAAAATGTTCTTTACCAACTCATTGAGTCATGTAATATGAGATTTCTTAAAATAGAGAGTTCTCTTTATTTATCTTTTTTTTTATTTATAGAAAAATGACTTTCTTAGAAATCACTTATGAAGTAACATTTTCCTATTTTTCACTCTTTTTGCCTTCTAGAAGTTGTTTTTCTTTCTTTTGTATATTCTCATTTTCTTTTTCCTTCATAAGTTTAATTTTGATTTCATCCTCTTAAAATTGGGTAGCTATAAAAATATGTAATATATAAATTTCTTATCTTTGTGAGTACGGTATATTTTATTAGTAAGACTATTATATATGGATTTTTTTTAATCAAATTTCCATGGCCTTCCTAACAAAATATGGCAAGCTTCCATGGTGTAACTACATCACATAAAATTTTATCCTTGTAGTTTCCAATTAAAAGCTTAACCTTCACTTGTTGATTTACTACCATGTCATTCTTTTCCTTAAGCCATTGAAACTTGTAAGGTTTTATATGAGGAATGGTAGTGAGGGCTAGCTTAACAACCTTCCTTGTGCTACAACAATTAGATCTTGATCCACTATCAACAATGAGAAAACACGATTGTTTTAAAATTTTGCATCTTGTATGAAAGATGTTCTCTTTTTGTGAATTGCTAATTTCACAAGGTTGGCGTCTAATAAGCCTTCTAATCAATAAGAGATTACCATTAAGTGGATATGTTTCCTCTCCACTATAGCTCTCCCCCTTCTGTTTCACTACCACTAGAGGTGGACGAACAAGATATATTTTTCTCTTAATTACTATAGTGATTTTTGCCCCTTAAGATCATGGTCTTTTTAGTGGGGGCATGCATTGAAAGACAATGTGACCTCTCCTTAGATATTTAAAATACTTAACTGCTACTATTAGTCCTAAAACTAGTGTTAGGGGATTCCATCTCATATAAGAGTTTGCTTTTCTCACTCTTTTCTTTTGACAGTTCACTCTTGGAAGAGTACTCCTCCTCTCTATGGTTATTTCTATGATGTGATTAAGGAATCCTTCTAGTGAAAAGTTTTCCTCAATAATTGTTGCTCAACTTTGATGCATAATTAGACTAAGTCATTAAGGTCCCTATATGACAAGAGCTCAAATTTTTCTATAATCTCAGTGCCCAAGCCACTAAGAAACCTTGCTATGGTGGTTCTCTCTTCCTTCCTTATTTATGCCGTCAACATGTATAGCTTCATCTTTTTCCTATACTCTTTAAAAATTATGTTCTTTTGATGAAGTCTATCTATAAGCTTCCTTCCATAGTAGAAGGGTATGTGCCTCCTTCTCATTGCTCTTTTTAAGGTCATTCCAATACCTCACACTAAGCTCATTGTAGAGCATTCTTTCTATTTCTAAGGAGATCCACCAATACATAGCATGCCCTTGGAAGCTAAGAGTTGGTAGTAGAACCTTTCTCTCTTCACTTATTTGGTGGTAACCAAAGAGTTGTTTCACTTTCATTTTCTAATCTAGATCATGCTTCCACATCATCCTTCACGGAGATCAACCTGGATTCTCTTACCCTTTGCTTTCTTCTAAGTTTGGAATTTCTAGGCTTTGTTGATAGTAGTCACTCATGTTTACACTATCCTCATGGTGAGTCAAGCTATGGCTCTTGGAGGAGCTACTACTATTACCATGCCTTTTCTTTTTTATTTTTCTTCTCCAAGAGTTTTTGTTTTTCTTTAACTTGTTTTATCTCTTGTTCTAAACGAGCTTCTATAGCTTCCATCTCAATTCTTTTTCTTTATTTTTCTAACATCTCTTCCTTACTCTAAAACTTTAAGTGTCTTTAGTACACTCATAAGATTTTCAAGGCAAAGACTTGAGATGATATTCTACACTAGTTAACTTCCTAATATCTAACTTAATTAAATCCATTCTTTTCTAAGAGAATTGATATCTTTCTTTGTTATTTTTGAAATGATACTTATATAATAAATTATATAACAATTTTTATAATTAAAAGAGTGAGAAAGAAAAAAAAAATTAAAAATATAATAAAGATTAAATTACTTTTTATTTTTTATTTTTTTTATAGCTTTTATAGTTTCATTTACTTTACATTTTAGTCCTTGTAGTTTTAAATATATTTCTTTAGTGTTTATACTTATTTGTTCCAATCCTTTTTAGTTCATATAGTTAAAGGTAGATTTTTTTTAGTCTCTATATTTGCAGTATTTTTTTTTAATATAATCCTTTTAATTTTTATCATTAATTTTTTAATGTTATCTATTTTGTGTTAACGTATGGTAGAGTTTTTCAATTTTGTGAGGGTAAAAAAAGACCTTTCAACAATGAGCGTCACAAGTAAATATACAAAAGAGGTATGAAGCATTGAAAAATCTAGTTTAAAATAATTACAACAAAATAAATTGAATATCAGACATAAAAAGTTGAATTAACATCTGTCATGTTAGCGCAAAAAAAGCAATATAACAGAAAAAATGACAGGAAATAAATGATTAAAAAGATGTAATTAATATAAAGAATAAAAAGATTTATTTTAAACTATAATTTTATAAGGACTAAAGACAATTAATTGAAAAAGGTAAATATAAAAATTAAAAAGATTTATATTAAACTACATAAACTAAAAGAAAAAATAAGTAAAATTATAAAGACTTAAAAAAGTATTTTAACTTGTAATAAATAATAAAGTAAGGAAAGATAAATATAATCTAATAATATTATATAAATTATTGTATATTTATTTTACATTTCTTTCAGTATTCACAACTCTCTTAGCTCATCATCCTGTCTGAGTTCACCATAACTCCATAAGTGGCACGAATATCCTCTACTATAAAATTAATGAACTTTAAGACGATTGCAATTAGCTTTAATCGGCTCTCATATGATTGTAAATGATGGTTTGCCAACCAACTCAACCAATCAATGCAGTGGAGTTCTTAGACAGTAACATGGAAAAATATCGAAATATTTAAAGGGCCACTTCAAAAAGGTAAGACGTGGGAAACTACAAAATTCAAATGACAAACCTATAATTATTTATACGACTAACATAAGCGTAGTTGTCCAAACCTTTAAACACGCTTGCATCATTACATTTAACCCATATCTTCCTAAGATCTAATGGATATAATTAAGAGCATCATTAGAGGAAATTAAAAAAGAAAATAGAATGTCAAAAGAATACAACTGATTAACAAAATAAAATCTATGCAACTTCACACCTTCTCAAGGTCTAATCCAAACAGTGCGTGGGTCTTCCAAGAGTTAACAGGTTCCACTCATTTTTTTTTTTTTTTGATCAATAGAACTTTGAAGATTCCTTTTGTATGATATAAAATGTAGGAACTCAGGAAAGGAGGAAGAGAAGAGATCGATGTTTTGGAATAGAGTGTTTTTCTTACCTCATAGGGTTGGAAAAATAATAATGTTTTTAAGATATAGATCGGAAATTAACAGTAGATAAAATAAAATTTTTCCACCAAGACCAAGTCAACTTTTTACAAAGGCCAAGTCAACAAACATCAATTTAAAATAATTAACACAATTTAGGTTGCTCAAATGTCCAGTGTTGGGCCAGGTTCTTTACATAACTTTTCCTTTTCACATGTCACCGGGCTTACCAGATACCACCTTAGTTTCCTTTACAATATTAAAATGGGAGGATAACATTATTAAAAAGTAAAGCATATACTTCATGCCGATAGAAAAAGAATAGGTGTAAGAATCTCTCTTTAGCCGTATAATTGAAATGCACTAATTTAACTTTATTTACTATTATTATCTTTAAAATATTTCTTCGTTTAACTAAAATTGTAATTTTAATATCTTCATTAATTATTGATATCAAATTTTAAAGATAATTTAGAAAAATACGTTATTTTTTAGATAGGATTAATAAAATTAAATTTATGTAAACAATAATCATCCTTGATTAGTATGAATAATAAATATATTCAAAATTGGAAAAAGTATGTATTAACAAGAAACCAAAGTCCACTTACATGAATTATGGCATTGGTCCATCATGTATATTCTCTTGGCGCACTCTGGCAGGCAGCAAGAAATTAATAAATAAAAAAAGTACGAGGAAAGCATAAACAATTTTCACACGTCGAATAGGATTCAAATTTATCACGCTCTTGTTTTTATTCTATTATCATACACTGTTTGTATCCTCACCATCAAACAGATTTTTAAAATTGTTACTTATTATTATCTTATTTCTAGGTCTTCAAATTTCGTTGAATCTTCTCACTTAAAAGCCAAATCAACACTCTTAGAAAATTTGAAGTAACAGCACCGACAGGTGGACAATATTATTAAAAAGAACTGTGTATATAATCGAAATGAGTAAACTATGTATTAGGTAGACGATGACAAACCCACTTGCATGTATTACGACATTCGGTCATCGTGTTTATGTTCTCAATGCAAAAGAAATTTTTGATAGGTAGTAAAAAATAAATCACAGAGGACCTTCCAAGAAACTTCATATGCTGCTTGGTCAATGATACATGATAAATTTTATCCGCGTAAGACATTATATTTAAGCTAGCACAAGACACTAAATTTGACGTAGGTAGTAATTCACTATCCCCTTCTCTCCTTGTAGCAGCTACCTAGTATCCTTCACTTAGTGTGGTTGTTAATTTTTCCCATGGCACAACATGAGGAAGAAACCCTTGATTTTCCGTATGATGTTTTCTTGAGCTTTAGAGACGAAGATACAAGGGAGAAATTTATAGGGCATCTTAGTAAAGCGTTGTCTCGAAAGGGGATAATCACTTTCGATAAGAATCTAGAGAAGGAGGAAAGTGTTTCATCTTCTCTCTCCAAGGCCTTTGAAGAATCAAGGGTTTTCATCGTTGTGTTTTCTGAGAACTATGCATCTTCCACATGGTGCCTCGATAAACTTGTCGAGATCCTAGAACGGTCCAAGAAGGGGGACAAGAAACGTGTGTTTCCAATATTTTACCATGTAGATCCCTCCGATATAAGGAACCAGAGAAACCGTTACGGTGAGGACATGATTGCACATGAAAACAAGTTTGGCAAAGACTCCCAAAGAGTGAAGAATTGGAGGTCAGCTTTGACTGAAGCAAGTAACTTTCCAGGCGAGCATTTCACCACTGGGTATGTACCAACAATTCCTTTCATATTTCTTTAGCAAAATGATATATGTCTTATCTTTATTTACCGCTTTTTTTTTTCAAAAAAAAAAAAATTAAAGGTGTAAGATTTTAATGTTATTTTCTCTTAAAAAAATATATGTAACTATAGTCCAAATATTCTTGAATTATTGTCAATCATATCAAAGAAAAAGAGTTCGTTTAATTCATTTCTGTATATGCTTCTAATTAATTAACTTTTATAATCAAGTATTCCTCATGTATTAATATTTTTAAATACATATGAAGTGTTAAAAAACGTATAAAATGTTAATAACATTCTCTGTCAAACTCTTAAATACTTTCTTTGTTTATTAAAACTTATTGAAAAATATACGATAAATGTAATTATTATATTATTGTTGTAATATATATATATATATATATATATAATTAGAATATCTTCAAATATATAAATTATATTATAAATTTGTAATAAATAATATGAATTATAATTTTTTTTAATTTGGAAGATTTCTTCTTTAAAAAATTGTTCAAATTCAATCTAGAAGTAAAAAATAAAATATAATAAATTTGAAGGATGGACAATTAAGATGCCCACAAATAAAGATAAAAAAAATGAGGATTTGAGACGATTGAGATAATTTTTTTAGTTAACTAATTGTGTGAGTAATATGTATTAGAGATCTCACAACGTATAAAAATAAGGTCATAATAATAATGTATATAAGTGAGAAATAATTCTTATTATACAAATCGATTTTGTGAGATTGACTTAAATTCTATAATCCACTTTCTTTATAGAATGTGAAATATGTTATATTGACGAGAGACAAAATTATAATAGTGTATATAGTTGAAGAGAAATTATCACCTTATAAATTAGTTTTATAAAATTGAAAAGTTGCTCTTCACTTATACACGTTATTATTTCTCACATCCTCTCATGTTGAGGATTTAACATATATATTAAATGTAAAATTTATAGAATTAAATATTTACAAATAATCTGATAGTTGACTCAATAGAAAGTGATGCAATAGAAATGATTTTTTGGTCATTTTCTTTAGTAGGATATTTGTTTTTAAGAGAAGTATAGTATCAATTGTGCTAACTTAGATACTATCATAACAAAATGAATTATAAAACTTAACTATGTACAAAGCTGATTTATAAGGTGAAATTCTCCCTAAATGTGTTTTTCAAATAAAATTTCACGTTTTTTTCAAACGTGACAAATTTCAATGTCTTCATCACATGTGATAATTTATTTTTTTTGTACTATTACGGGTTATTTCATTTCTTACTATAATGAAATAAATCCTTCCATCAAACAAATAATGTGTTGTGTTCCTGCAGAAGTCGCAAGTATGAAATCAATTTGATTGAAGAGATTGTTGATAAAGTCTATAAAAATATAGCTCCTAAACCGTTACGTACTGGTCAGAGCCCCATTGGACTAGAGCCTCGCATAGAAGAGCTAAAGTCACTTTTAGACATGAAGCCTGGTGATGAAACTAAACACATGTTGGGCATTTACGGACTTGGGGGAATAGGGAAAACAGAACTTGCCAAAGCTTTGTATAACAATATTGTGCGAGACTTCGATTCTGCAAGTTTTATTGCCGATGTTAGAGAGAAATCAAACAAACCCAATGGCTTGGAAGATCTTCAGAAGACACTTTTATCAGAGATGTTAGAGGAGTTAGAAACTGAGTTTGGCAGTACAAGTAAAGGAATGTATGAAATAAAACGCAGGCTTCATCTAAAGAAAGTTCTTCTTGTTCTTGATGATGTTGATGACAAAGACAAATTAGAAAAGTTGGCAGGAGGATGTGATTGGTTTGGTTTTGGAAGCAGGATCATTATCACAACACGATATAAAGATGTGTTAATTACTCATAAAGTTGAAAAGATATATGAAATGAAAGAGCTTGATGAACAACATTCTCTTGAGCTCTTTTGCTGGAACGCCTTCAAACAAAGCCACCCTAAAACAGGATTTGGTAATGTGTCTTTGCGTGCAGTTGGTTTTTCCAAGCGTCTTCCATTGGCTTTAAAAGTAATAGGCTCGGATTTGGCTACCCTTTATGAAGAAAGTTTAGATGCTTGGGAATGTGCGTTACAAGAATATGAAAAGACCCCTTCAAGTGAAAAGATTCTAGATGTGCTCAAAATAAGCTATGATAGATTGGGTGAAAATGCCAAACAGGTTTTCCTAGACATAGCTTGCTTCTTCAAAGGGGAGAGTTCAGAATATGTTAAAAAGATAATTGAGGAATTTGGTGCATCAAACATTAATGTACTTGTTAATAAATCTCTTCTAACTATTGAGAATGGCTACTTGAAGATGCATGATTTAATACAAGACATGGGTAGAGAGATTATTAGGCAAGAGACAACAAAACTTGGAGAACGTAGCAGACTGTGGTATTATGAAGATGTTATTGAAATATTAACAGATGATTATGTAAGAATTATTCATTTTTTGTTTTTGAAATTACACATTATGTTCTACTATATTAATGATATTATGCAATTGACATTACTTGTTTGTGTTTGTTTTAAAGGGAAGTGATAACATTCAAGGGATAATGCTTGATCCCCCTCAAAAAGAAGTAGTAAATTGGGATGGTAATGCCTTTAAGAAAATGGAATCACTCAGAATTCTCATTGTTCGAAACACATTATTTTCACATGAGCCTAATCATTTGTCAAATCATTTGAGGGTGCTTGATTGGGAAGAATATCCTTCGAGGAGTTTTCCATCAAAGTTTCATCCGAAAAAAATCATCGTTTTCAATTTGCCCAGAAGCCATCTAACATTGGAAGAACCATTTAAGGTACAATTTTACAACATGTTTTCTGCTTCTTTACACTTTTTTCCTAAATTATACTTTTTGATTATTTATCTTATTTTTAAGATTTATTTTGATCATTTATCTTTCAAAATATTTATTTTAATCATTAATTTGTATTTAAAACAAAATTTGGTCTTTTTGAAATGATGATCATTTTCACTTTTATAATATAATTTTGAACCTTTTTAGATCGACTCAAGATGAGAAATTTGTCTCATTGGATTTACCGCCCACAAAAAAACTATTAAGCTCAACTTGTGTTTAAAAAAAAAAATTATAAACATAATGAAAATTATAAAAAATAAGTCCAACTAGGAATTGAAAAATTAAAAATTTTAATATTGTATTTTTTTGTTGATTAGGGAATTTTTTTTATATCAATTTCATTATGTTTATAACCATTTTTGGTTTAAAAAATCAATTAGGTTTCATAATTTTTGTGTAAGTGAATTTAATAAAACAAATTTCATTGAATTAGTAAAAAAAAAATATAAACTTGTATCCCAATATTAAAAATATTTCAAAAGGACCAAATTGATTTTTTAAAGGATAAAAGATCAAAATAAATATTTTTTTCATTTAAAAAATATTCCATTTTTATTAACATTATAAAATTAATCATTTTACTAACCTTTCGTTCTTTTGTTTTTTTGTAGAAATTTTCGTATCTGACTAACATAAATTTCTCATATAACCAATCTATCATCAAAATGCCTGATGTGTCTGAAGTTCAGAATTTAAGGGAACTGAGACTTGATCATTGTAAACACCTAATAACAATTCATGATTCTGTTGGATATCTTAAAAGGCTTGCTCATTTAAGCGCTTCAGAATGTACCCAACTCAAAAATTTCCCACAAAAGATGTTTCTACCATCTCTTGAAGTTCTCAATCTTAATTTATGTGGAAAGCTTGAACACTTCCCGGAGATAAAGGAAGAAATGAATAAGTCATTGAAGATTTATATGACAAATACTGCTATTAAGGTTCTGCCAGAATCCATTGACAAACTCATTGGGCTTGTCAGTATAGAGATATCAAATAGTAGGAAACTTAAATATCTACCAAGTAGCTTATTCATGTTGCCAAATAATGTTGCCTTTAAAATTGGAGGATGTCGTCAACTCTTAGAATCCTTCAGAAGTTTCGTTCAGAGCCTTTCTACAATTAATGTTTGTCCAATTTTACAAACACTACATTTTGAAAATGCCAATTTGTCAGATGGAGATCTTCTCACGATTCTCAATTGTTTTCCAAAATTAGAAGAGTTATTTGCTTCAAAAAACAAATTTGTCTCACTCCCTACATGCATTAAGGAATGTGTTCACTTAACAAGTCTTGATGTGAGCTTTTGCGAGATGCTTCAAAAGATTCCTGAATGTCCTAACTTGAGAACTCTCAAAGTTAATCATTGCATGAATCTTGAGGAAATTTCAGAATTGCCATTTATTCAAAAAGTAGATGCAAGGCATACCTCTCTAGCTAAGGAGACATCAGACATGTTATGGTTTCAGGTATTATCACTTTATTGTTAAATCTTATACCTTTATTTTTAGGAGAATAATATTTTCACACTATTTATTTAAACTTCTTTTAGGATAGAAAACGAAGAGCTAAGGAAGAGAATGTGTTGAAAACCATATTTCTTTCATTTACCTTTGTTAATGAGAAATTATTAGATGATTTGTGAATATCATGACCTCACTCATCCCCAAATGAAATATAAGCAAGTGATAATATTTTTTTTTAAATTGAAAACTTAAATACATATTATAGAGATTGATTGAAATCTGTAGACATCTCATCCCCACATGAAATATAATCAAGTGATAATATTTTTTTTTAAATTGAAAAACTTAAATACATATTATAAAGATTGATTGAAATCTATAGACATGTAATGGTCCTAAACTAGCTAATCATCAACATCTATTATTTTCATTTTTCTATCACGTTATATTACTTATTATGTTATTATACCTATATATTTTACTCTTCTTCTTTCCCTGCCCGGAGTTAAGCGAGATTAATTTCCACTAATATTTCTCCAAAGAAAAAATAAATTAGGCTAACAAGTAAGAGGAATATTTATTACTACGTTTATAGTATAACTCCTCCTTTTCAAATGATTTATGAACCCTCATTTTTTATTTGTTTCCCATACTAATAATTTTCGGAAATTCTACAAAATTAAATAAAAAAGTGACAATAGACACATAAAATTGAGAAATGAGTCCCTTATAATATAATTTACTTTTGTAAAATGATTCATTAATTAATCTTTTTTTATTTGTTTGTTTATTAAAAGAAATGTTGAAGATATGTATATGAAAAAGTCTTTGCTGTTGGACTCTACTGCTATAGTTGGTTGCTAGAAATTAGGAATCAGATTTTTTATTTGTTGTAAATAATTCCTTGTTTTTAGGTACCGTTACTTTTCAATTTTTCATTTTAGTTTAATCAAGTAATTATACGTGAGCAATTTTTATGCATTCCATTAAGGGTTGTAAAGACTATATAATAGCCTCTTTGAATTCAATAAAAGTAGGTTGCATGAGTCCATATATTTGATTACTTTCATTCTCTACAGTATACCAATACATTTTTTTTTCAACAAAATTGCTATTATTTGATGAAATTCATACAAAATAAATACTGTATTTAAAAATTAAAGAGTTTAATGACAAAGTATTTTCGACGCAACTTTTATATTGTAAATCAATAAATAAAATGACTTATAATATAGTTATTGTAAAAATCGATAAACATATGCTAGTTTGAAATTAAATGTCAAGCATAAAACTGATTTATACTATTAAGATGTGCTATTTTTTCATAACTTACAAGTACTACTCCGATCCTGATTATAAATAAAAAAAATATTCAAGTTAATTAAAAAGGTTAGTTTACATCATTTAATTTTTTTTAAAATTTTATCTAAAAAATAACTTATTATATATTCTAAATTATCTTTCCTTAAAACTTGATATCTAAATAAAATATATTAGAAATAAAATTTTAATTAAATGAAAGAAGGTATTTTTTGAAGATGACAACATTAAATTCATGAAGTGAAATTAATTAAAATTTGAGACAAATAAAATGATTTTTTTCCCTTTCTTATATTCCGAACAGAAGGGAAGGGAGTATATGAAAAGTTTGTTCCCAGCCTTATTCTTTAATTTATGTCTTATTGTAGGTAAGCTTAAACAATGTTAGGTTATTACCCCCATACACATGATAAAGGCAAGCAACTATTCATAAATAACAGACATTAATTCTGCTGAAATTAATCCTAATTTTACCCTTGAACCTTTATGGACAAGGTGTGCTATTTTAATTATACTTTGTTAATTTATGCAATATGATAGGCAGCAAAAGGGATGCGTGAATTGGAAATAGTGATGCCCCAAACCGAGATTGCAGAATGGTTTGACTTCATTGGCAACGGAGAGAATCTTCGTTTCTGGGTTCGTTGCAAGTTCCCAACTTTTGCTCTAGCGTTGGTTTTCCAGGATGTGACAGGATGGGGGAGACAAGGTCGCCATCAAATTCTTCAGCTCCAACTAGTTATCAACGGTCGATGTGTTTCTCGCAGAGGCTACAAGTTCAGAATTGGTGCAGATCATGTCTTAATTTGTGATCTACGACTTTTATTCAGTGACGAGGAATGGCTTGGCCTTGATACATTTCTCGAGCATGAGTGGAATGTGGTGCAGGTTTCATATGAAGCCCCGCCCCCGTTGATTCTAAGTCGATGGGGAGTTCATGTGTATGAAGAAGGAGCCAACATGGAACATGTCCAATTCATATGTCCTCATCCCAAGTATTTAGACATGTCACCAACACTGGTTCCTACAAAAGAAGATCCTAAGGAGGAACGAAGAAAGTTGATAGAGAATTTTTGCATAGATGAAGTGCTTGAAGCGACCATACTTGAATACATGCACTACTGCGAGAATAAAAAGGATTTGACAGATGAAAATATGGAGTTAGTGTATTCCAAAATTGGATTGTTGAAAGAGGTAAGTAAGCAGGCTAAGGATGAGTTAAATTCTGGAGACTCAGATTTAGAAGATAAGCATTCCCTCTTGACAACTTTCTTGAAGACTTACTATGCTCTAGGCCCTGAAATTCAGGAGGAAATTGACAATGTTCCGCAGCAGAAAGAAAAAATGAGGAAAATATTCTCTGATGGAATAAGAGATGGGCTTCTTGAAGCAAAGGCTAAATTTCCTTCTCTAAATCTTATCAAAACTAGAAGTGTTGCCTTAAGGAAAGGTAGCAGGGTTCGATGGCTTTTCGAAGAACTACCCGATGTTGTAAAGTTATACATTGGAGGAATCATTAGTGGACTCTCGGAAGCAAAGCTGAACTTTCCTGATTTTGACATGTTGGCAACACTAGTTCCCATGTTACGTATGATAGGCGTAAATGATCTCCATGACAATTTTGGTCGACCATTGATACGGTTGATCAAAGAAGTGAGTGTGGATCTTGGGCAAGAAGCATTAACAAGGTACGTATACTATGATGGAGTTACGGATGGACTTTATGAAGCTCAGAATACCTTTCCTTATCTAGATATTACTGAAACCAGAAGTGTTGCCATAAAAAACATGGCATTTTGGAGCATATTGTTGCTGGGAGAGGATCTGGTACGGGTGCTACGCACGGTTGAAACAAGGACATACATAGATGGAATTCTTGGTGGACTCGTTGAAGCAATGCGGAGCTTTCCTGATTTGGACATCATAAAGATTCTAAGTGTCGTGTTACGTAGGATGGGCATTTTCAAAGTAATTACTATAGAAGATGAGGCGCCTGGTAATTTGCCCCATAAGGATCTCACATTGATGGGAGTGCTAGAAGATAAATGGGAGGAATCAATGGACGTGGGAGAAGCTTCAACCTCTGGGCATCAGGGAAGAGAGGAGGAACAAGGCAACGATCCTCAACAGGAAAAAATACTGAGGGAAATATTCTATGAAGGAATTACAGATGCACTTGTTCAAGCACGGAGTAACTTTCCTTCTTTGGATATTAATAAAACCAGAAGTGCTGCATTGAACGCCAAGATATACGGTCATAGGGCTGTATGGTCACTCTCAGAACCGGAAGGTGGATGGAAGTCACATCTCTCAATTAAAAAGAAGATATACATTGAAGGAGTTATGAATGGACTCCTTGAAGCAAAGTTGAGCTTTCCTAATTTGGACATATGGGCAACACTAAATACCTTGAATAGTAGAAAATTGAAAACATCTTTTGTAACAATACCTAGGTTTATAAAGTTGGATTGGAATAAAGAGATACCTCCTTCTCTAGGCTCTCTTGACCCTCCCTTGCAAACATCCACCACAATGAATCAACAAAGTTCGAAATCTGAGGCCGAGAGTAAATTCCCTTTCAAGTTAGAGGGACAGGAAGCATTGGGTAACAAGTTTGTAAAACATGAAAATGAAGGTGCTGTTTCGAATAAAGATAGTGGCACGACCAGCTCTTGCAAAAACCAATATGATGAACCGATTCAGAAATTCAACACTCAATCTGACGAGTTTGTTTCAAAGAAGGTGGATTGTACTAGTGCCACAGGGATTCTCATGGACAATGGCTGCAAGTGTGAGAGCAAGTATGAGAAGGTGAGTGCTATTTTGAAAGGAAGAGCTGAAGAATTAGGGAGCCTATATCATGCTAGAATTGAAAGTTTCCAGAAGTCGGAGGAGTTTCACGATCTGATGATTGCAACATACTTGAATGGACAGAGAGATGGAGTCCTTGAAGCACAAGCCATCTTATTACTTCCTCAAGACATGGACACAAAAACTCCAGTATTTTTGGATAATGAGGAGCATGTTATTGATGAGGTTGCTAAAAATGAAAAACTTGATGAAGACCTCAGTGTAACAGGTATTCCAATTCCTACTGTTCCAGATGTTCCCAATGACAATGCCAATCTTGACACAAATAACCCTTCTGGCTCAAAGGAATTTTTCAATTGGTTTGAATTTGTTTAAGAGATGTAGCAATATTAATGTAAAATAATGTTGTTATACTAGATTGTACTAAGTCTCAGCTTAGTAATGCACATGCCCCAATTATTGTTTCTACTATTATTCAAAATGTAATCATCTTAATTACTTCTTCATATATTGATTTGCAGTAAAAAAAGAAGAAGAAAAAAACATTTGATCCAAGAGATACATATATGATTTACTTTTACAAAACATAATCATTTTACTTTATATATTTGCGCTTGAAGCATAGGCCATCTTACATTCTTACTCGCTCTGGATATGCAGAGAAAAACATCAGTGTTAAGTGGAATGAGGAATGTGTTATAATATGTGAGGTTGTTAACAAGGAAAACAATATAGTGTAGCAGATATAACAACTTACAAGTCCTACAGGTCCAGATGCTGACAACACCTATCGCGGCACTCATTACACTTTAGGCTCACATGATTTTTTCAATTGGCAGGAATTAATTTGTTTAAGATATGCCAACAAATTATTAAGATAATTCAATAGCCAATAAAAGTATTTTAACTCTAATCTTTTAAGAAAAAGATTATGGGTTCTTTAAAAAAATAGAATTTCTTGGTAAAATTTGTTAAGTAACTCATATTGAGGTTAAATGTCTAAAAATTGACTAATAAGACTTATCTCATTTTTAGTAATAAGTATTATAAGTATTATTTTTCAGATTGTAGTTTCAAAAGGTTTTCCCAACCTAAATTATTCTATGGGATCATGTTGACGGTGGCTAAGCTAAAACATCATTAAGAGAAAAAGAAGAACAATTAATTAAAAAAATGAATTGAATAAAAGCAGAAAAAGTAGGTAGTTACATCAATTTCCAAAAATGAAGAACTTAATAACTCATGACTAAGGAATTCACTTATAAATACAAACGAAGGTAATTAAGGGATGCGTAATTATAAGAATATCACTTTCACTCTCTCTAATCTCGTTGAGTAATATTAAAAAATGAAGTATCTCCCTATTCTCTCAATCCTTAATTTTATAATGGTGACGGATTTTGAATCCAGTTTGTGACGAATGCGTTCCCTCATAAGTTGCGACGTAAAATTTATTAGTTAGTGACGACATATTTCCGTCACTAATTGTGACGGATGAATTTTTCCGTCACAAAATATTTTGTGACGCCATTTTTTGTGACGACCCAAAATCCGTCACAAATTCCGTCACTAATTATTTTGTGACGGATTTTCTTTAATTTTGTGACGGATTCTTTCCGTCTCTAATTTCCATTTTTCTAGTAGTGAATGATAAATTAGAAAATGAAGTCTATTAATAGAACAAATTGTCAAGCAAGGCTTTGTCTAAAAAAAAAAAAGAACAGGAAAGTGGAACGTTACTACTTTTAAGAACAAAGTCAACCATGGGATCGATGATTGGATTGCGGTATGTGCACTTGATTCAAGCTCAGATAAATGAAGGGGATAAAGCACAAGTGGATAGTTTGCATATGATTGGTGTTAAAACTAGTGACATAATGGGTTTTGATTGTGGGTAAAAATAGCGGTCATACTGATCTTGGTTTTTGCAAGAAGGAATTGTGAAATCATATTGATCGATTACATAAAAGAGCTAAAATATAATATTGTGATGCCTTTGCTTTAATGTGTTATTTGCAAGCCAAGCAGACAATGATTAATGTTTCCAAAGCTCACAACCTAAGAGGATGGAAGATATATGTTTGTCTAACGGTGCTAATTGACTTGATTTCCATTGCTATGAAGATGTTGCATTTGACACTACATATAAAAAGAACAAGTACAACAATCCTTTGGTTGTTATATTTTTGTTATAACCATTATGGTAAAGTTGTTATTTCTTTTCCTGTGCTTTGATTTTTTATGAGAAGACAGAAAGTTACAAATAGGTGTTGGAAACCTTTTAAGAATGTGTGTTTGGTAAGTCATGGTTTGTACTTCCAAATTCTTTTCATAGACATTGTTCTCCACACCTTCACCAAAATGCTTGTCAAAATGTTAACAAAGTTTTTAAAAGATTTCAAATCATTAATGTGTGACAATTGTAGTCTTGCTTATTTTTAAAATGAGTGGAAGGAAATTGTTGATAAATATGGAAATGCCAATAACAAGTTGGCTAAGTATGTTTATGAGAGGATGTGAATGTTGGTGAATACCTATATGTGGGAATATTTTTTTGTTAGCATTAGAAATATTTTTATACCACAATATTAATTATTGAGGAAGGTTGAAATGATATCATTGTAACTTTTATCAATTTTTGTATTGTTTAATATCTTTTAATTAAATGTGAATTTTTCGTATTGGGTAGTTTGGTCCAATCAACATTATTTTTTGGTCTTAATTTTTGGATGACTTAATTATCAAAAGGTTTGATCTTTTCTTTTTATTTTATTTTTTTTGGAAAAATAACGCAAACAAATATAAGTTTAGTTTTTTTTGAAAATTTTTACTTAAGTGGTGTTATGAGAGAAATAAATTTTAAAATATATTTTTCATTTAATTATTTATAAAAATACTTTTATATTCAAATATTTACTAAAAATATACTTTCAATTAAAATATATTTTAAAAATTTTGTTAATTCATTATCATTCATTCACTTGATTAAAAAGTGATAAAATATAATTAATTTTCAATTAATTTAATAAAATAAAAATTCTAAAATAAATTATATTATGATTTTAATTATGAATCTATTTTAAATTTATTAGTTTGATGTTTAATGATGTTTGATATTATTGTGATAAAAATTGATATTCTTTCATATTTATATATATATTGTTAAATAAGTACTGAACTGATAAGGTAGCTCAGAAGGCTGGAGAAGGAGTGTTAAGGTTAGAATGAGTAGAAGGTAAGGGGTTCGAATCTTACCACTGCCAATTATCTGAAAATTAATAATTAATACTTGTTGAGTAGAAAAAAAAATGAAATAATATATATTGTATAATTAATAAATCTGAAATAATTTAATTGTTTTTTATTTAAAAATAAAAAATTAGGATTTTGTGACGGATTTTGAATCCCTCACAATTTGTGACGGATTTTGAATCCAGTTTGTGACGAATGCGTTCCCTCATAAGTTGCGACGTAAAATTTATTAGTTAGTGACGACATATTTCCGTCACTAATTGTGACGGATGAATTTTTCCGTCACAAAATATTTTGTGACGCCATTTTTTGTGACGACCCAAAATCCGTCACAAATTCCGTCACTAATTATTTTGTGACGGATTTTCTTTAATTTTGTGACGGATTCTTTCCGTCTCTAATTTCCATTTTTCTAGTAGTGAATGATAAATTAGAAAATGAAGTCTATTAATAGAACAAATTGTCAAGCAAGGCTTTGTAAAAAAAAAAAAAAGAACAGGAAAGTGGAACGTTACTACTTTTAAGAACAAAGTCAACCATGGGATCGATGATTGGATTGCGGTATGTGCACTTGATTCAAGCTCAGATAAATGAAGGGGATTTGAGAAAGAGAGTCCCTCTCTTTTGTTCCTGAGCCAGTTTTAAATGATTTTTTCTACGTAGGCTCTCTTTGAACAACGAGATTGGCTCGCTCAAAGTGTCAAATTGACTAGTTTGAGTGGGCCAACATAATCCTCTAGAGTCTACATTTGATTTAGATTGCTTAGGGAGTTCACGTAGCTCGCTTAAGCAAACTTTTTCTTCAATTCCAGTGTTGTCTTTTGAAGTGACTCACTTATAGCACCAAGATGACCTTCTTTGAGCAAACACAAAGTTGCTCATAGCGTGCTTTTTCTTGCTTTGAACAAATGCTCTAAATATCCAACTCCTTTAATATTAGCTCCTCTCTCCCTACATCTCAAAACTAACGAAAAAACATTAAAAATACTTAAAATTAGAAAAACTCTACTAATTAATTAACATGACAATTAAAATACTAATATAACTCTAAAAAATTAAAGATATTAACAATACACATGCATCCCAATATATATTATGTCTATAAAATCTAATTATCAATGATATGCGTGTCACCTTAACAATGCATATGCATGCCAATATATTGTTAGTCAAAGTAGTTGTTTATTTGTTTTCACGTTCGTAATAAGCCCGATACTTCAGGGATAGTTATTTTGAATTCTCATGTACGTGCCATGAAATTTGTCGTTTCTGTTTTGCATTTAGTTTTACTTATGTACATGTAAAAGGTTATAAAAAGTAAATGCTCATTTTCAATAAACAAGTATTATCAATTCTCTCCATTGTTCGTGTTATTGCATCTCTGTTTCTACATCTGGTATCAGAGCTTCGCAAGGGGCCTGATAGTGAGTGAAAAGTGTGTAAGTCTACAAACAAAATGTCAAAAAAGTTCGTGCAACCAACTATTCCAAAATTTGACGGCCATTATGATCATTGGTCAATGATGATGGAAAATTTTCTAAGAAGCAAAGAGTTATGGGGTCTTGTAGACGAAGGGATACCGTTGCTGGCAACTGGGACAACGTCGACGAGTGACGCACAGAGAAAGAGTGGGGAGGAAGACAAGC